TGTATATTTATATTTATAATTATATTTGTAACCATATTTATGTTCATATTTATATTCATATTTATATTTATATTTATACTTATATTTATATGTATACTTATATTCATATTTGTTGTCGTTTAAGTTAATTTAAGTTTTGTCGTGTAATTTAAGTCGTTTAAGCTAAGTCATCGTTAAGAGCTTGGTCATATGCTTGCCTTTACGACGCTAAAGAGTTTTGTAAGTTGAAGAATTCCACATGCACGCACACACACACACACACACACGCGCGCGCACACACACGCAAGCACACACGCGCGAAAGGTGATTATTTTTTGTCTCCTCTTTCTAACCAACCCTCGGCAGTCGATCCTTTCACCCCGACTTTCCCCAATCATCGCTCCCCTTTCTCCCGGCTCTCATTCACTCGCTCAGATGCTCTAACCTTTCGTTCGTCCCCTTCCTCACCGTCTCATCCTTTCTTATTTTCGACATTGGTACAAACGCATTTTGGGGCTACAAAATTCTCTATCGACGCGACGGTATCGTCGATCTGGCTAGATTCTTTGGATTTATCACAGAAAAACAGTTTTAATAATATTTCATTTTTATTTCACCCGCGCGTACCGTCACACGTCTTCCAACGCTTTCCTATCCGTGAAACGTACCGACGAATTTCACTTGCCTTTCCCCCCTTTTCCCTTTTTTCCTGCAATTTCGAGTCGTGCGTAAATCGCGAAAGGAGAAGAAAGGAGAACAAAGAAAAATGGCACGCGAAACTAAAACGAAAACCGAGCGTTCGATATTGCGTACGCGGATAAACAAAGGGTACACAGAGAAAATGGCGGAAAGGATTTCGCGTGTCACGGACAAAGAGGAAACATAAATTCCGCGAGGTTACCGCGAGAAAATTTCGATTAGAAACGAAAACGGAAGCACCGTAGCGATTTTCCGTTTCCATTTCGTTTCCGAATTTTGTTTCAGGAGCGTAAACGTTGGCATGCCCAAATTCCCCACGCGTTCGTCTCTTTTCCCTTTTTTCCTTTTCTCATTATATTCATGCATTCTCTTTACAGCGACGTTTAAACGCGACGATACGAAATACGATTGAGTTTATAAAGCACTTAAGGGAAAAAATCACGCTCAGCATCGACTGCACGTCATAAGACTCACACTCGCGAGATTCTCGATGCTTTCGAGTATTTTTTAACGTTTTCTGTTTTTCTTTTTTCGATTTTATTTTTTTTTTGTTCATTTTCCTTTAACGTGCGTATCATCTTGCTTGCTCGGTTTACCGTAATGGCACTTTCTTCGGCGCTTTATAGTGCAACACGCGTGTCACCGTGCCCACCGATTCGTCTCGACGTCGATCTCTCGTTCGTCCACGCGAAATCGTCTCGTTGTAACCGTTTCCTTCCCCTTTCCCGCTTCCTTCCCGATACGTTTGACCGACGCGAAAACCACGAACGAAACGAAAAACCGAAGTAAAAGGGAAAGAAAAGAAAAGAAAAGAAAAAGAAAAAAGAAGAAGAAGAACGAGAAACACCGTGTCCAATGGGAAACGAAGAATGTTCGATCACCGAGAACCTCGATCCACGAGAAGCATCCGCGTATTGTCGACAAATATATTTCTTTCTCTTTCTCTCTCTCTCTCTCTCCCTCTCTTTCTCTCGTTCTCCTCGGTCGTTAGATACTTACATTAATTAACGGTAGTACTACGTAGTTACACATGTTCAGTCGAAATCCACGCACGCAGATTAACGCAGACAAGCGTGAAGTGGTATTGAAAAATGATTTTAAATCTTCTTTTTTTTTTTTTGTTGTTTTGTTTCTTTTCTTTTTTGGTTTCTCGAGACTTCTAACCCCATTCATCCTGCTTTCGTTCACAGTCACGCGTTCTCCCTTTCGCTCTCGTTCCTCAGCATCACACCACCGACGTATTTATTTACATCTATCTACGCATAGATGCCTGTGTATACGTTCTGCGAAAAAAGACGCATGTTATTTTATATACATTCATGTATCTCGTGAGTACGATTGGCAGTATGTTACATGTAACCTTCTTTCCCGCTCTCGTTAAACCTCCTGTTTGCTATAATTACATAACCCCGATTCGGCTACGCGCGCGTGCTTATTTAGCGATCGTTTATGTCCCTTTAATACGTAACATATGCGTATGCGTGTATATGTAATGTATACATGTATATAAGCTTGTCCCGGGGACTATGTTTGCCTTATTTCGTTGAGCGCATCGTGGAATTCGAAATGACGTTTGTTAGTTCGTTCGTTCGTTCCTGTTTTTATATATATATATATATGCACCTACTACGCGTAGGTTTCTTCTTTCGAATGTGTTTGTACATGGTGTACGTATGATCGATCGATCCATCGATCGTTCGATGAATGTTTCCGGTCCTGCTCCGACGAGTGACGATTACGACGCGTGAACGTTTGAATGGCGCCGAGGGACTCGCAGATGGAGCCACCGAGACAACATGGCGTCGCGGACGCTCGTGCAGCCATATTGCGACGCGTGGATCGATCTTCGCCGTTGATCCGGTGGACCGAGAGCAGCGATATCTGTCGATTTAGCGATACGAGCTGGAAGATCGATCGACGGATCGTGCACGCGGATGCACGGCGTTCACGGTGCGATGCTTTCGTGGTAGGATTAACGAATTTTCTCAGCGAGAGAATCGCTCCGCGGTAACAACGATACTAGCAATGCTTGGAATTTAGTAAAATGTTTCAGTATTCGTAGCGTTAGTAAAAATAGTAGTAATAATGCTATTAGTAATAGTACTTGTAGTAACAGTAGTTGTAGTTAGTAGTAGTAACAGCGGTGGCGGTTGCGGCGAACGTGGTAGTGGTAATGAGGATGATTAGTAGTAATAGTGGTAGTAGTAATAGTAGTAGTAAGAATAATAGTAACAGTAGTAATAGTTAGTAGTAGTAGCGGTAAGAATAGTAGTAAGTAGTGGTGGTAGTAATAGCAGCGGTAGTAATAGTAATAGCGGTAACGAAGGTGGTAATAGTAACAGTCGTAGTAACAGTGAGAGCAGCAGTCGTAACGATAGTAGTAGAAAACGTAGTTACAGTAGTGATGGTGGTGATAATGGCGACGGTGGTGGTGGTAGTAGTAAGAGTGGTGGCGGTAGTAGCAATAGTAAGAGTCAGCAGCAGCGACAGCAGTGGTGAGAACAGTAGTAGGAATAGTAGCGAGAGTAGAGGTGGTCGTGTTCGATGGTGATAATAGTAGTATTTAGTAACAATGGTAGTAGTAATTGCGGTAGTAAATAGTAGTAATAGTAGTGTAGTAGCGGTAGTATCGACGGCGGTAGTAAGCAGTGGTAGTAAATCGTAGTAGTACAGTAATAGCGATAATAGTGATAGTATTAGTAAGTAACAGTAGTAGCCGTAGTTAGTGTAGTAGCGGTAATAATATTAGTGGAATAGTTTCCTTTCTCGTTGACGGTGACAGTAACGGTAGTAGCAGTGATGGCAAACGTATTTTTTTTTTTTTTTTTAAGTTCGAATTATGCGATAATTTACAAGTGCTCGTGAATCTTCATTTTTCTTTCTTTTTTCACTTTCCCGTTTCTTCCTTTCCGAGAAGAACGCGAACCTTGGCCCTCTCTACCGTTCCGTCGATTTCGTGTGTTTTTCTTCGTGTATCTTTTTTTGCTTTTTCTTTATTTATTTTTTTTTTTTTTCTCGACGATTGATCGTGATACATGGTCCTTTCTTTTTCCCTTTCCTGTCTCTTGATTTCTTATTGGCACGAGCTGCGAGAATACGGAACAACGATACCTCGATCGTTCGTTTCGACATTGGTACTGTTTCCTGTTTCTCGCGAGCAAAATCGTTCGCTGGTCCTTGGTTCGCGCATGCGTCCGATGCAACGCGCACGCGCGTCATTCCGTTCGTGCGTTTAAACGGAGGATCGGTCATGGTGATCGCGATGCGCGAAGTAGCCAGCAATGGCGAGCCACGAATGCTTCTTACGATAGAAGAGAATCGAAACGATCTTGACGATTTAGTAAAAATTCCTACGTATTTAATTCGATGTATCGTTTAGCACGTTTAGCTTCGAGTACCTTTTCTTTTTGCTTTTTCTTCTTTTTCTTTTTTATACAGCTACTCCTCTATCCGCGGTGCGACCGATTGTTCGAATAATTTAACGATTATTCCTCTGCCGTGATCGATACATTTTGACGCGTTCGTTTTACCTGTTTCACCGGAACGTTGTCGGCTGGTCGTGAACCTCGGCGAAAGAAAAATAAACAGAGAGAACGATGCACCGGCGCAAAAGCCGCGGCTACCGATTCGTCAACGCGTACGAGAGATCGAAATCGGTAGTCACAGTTCTTGTCGCGTTTAATCGCCCGGCTTCGTCTCCTCGTCGTTCTGCGCGCGGTTTCGTATTAACGGCAGAACGAAAGCTCTAACGGAAATTTCGACGTAGTTCGATCGAGAGTTTGCCTACCCGTTCGGTAAATCGGAACGCTACTGCGACGAGAGATATTCCGAGCGAAATCGGAGACGAACTCTTCGTTCCTCGACGTGGTATCGCGTGGAACGTATCGAACGGTACCCTTCGCCAACGCACGCACGCACGAAACGTTCTATACTCGTCAGAGGACGTTTCGTTTCCCGTTCATCAGTCCTGTCTGCGTCCGTTCGCATCGAGAACCTCCCTGACGACTCGCTCGAGCTGCTGCCGCGGCTGACAAAGAAATCAAGAAGAGAGACGTTTCGTTGGCAAACGTGGATGGTGGCGCGTTCGCGTCGCCGACCAGTTCCTGTGAGAGGGCGTCGCGTAAGCGCAACTGTTCAAATACGGTCGTGAAAAACTTGGTAGATTCGTGCGGAGAGGGATCCGAAGCGAACGCTCGTACCGTTTCAGAGCGTTTTCCCCCGTGTGTGGTATAATCATCGTATAAAAAGTGGATCCTCCTCGGCTCGGTCCGTCGATTAAAAAGCACAGCGAAGGAAGCTTCGAAGTTTTGAGACGAAAGAAAATATGAGAAAGTTCCGAAGCGCGTCTGGCATATACCGACGTATATGAACCTTCGACACTTGGACTTTTCGCGAGAGGATCACCGCGCGAATTCGCAGTGATCGAGGTATTCTTTTCTCCTGTATCATCCTCCTTCCTTTCTCCCTTTTCGTTATCCTTTTGTTTCTTTCTTCTTCTTTCTTTTTTTTTTCATTTTCTCGTTTTGCTCGTTTTGCGCGTTCAAATCGACGATCGTCGTTTTTCGTGGCACACACAGTCTCTCTCTTCGATGGTGACCACCGCGACGATTTCTCCGTTAGTACGTACGTTGCTTTGTTGTCCCTGTAACGATCATCCGATGTTGCTCTCGTTCCAGTCGCGTCATTTCTTTGGAATCCTTTGCCTGTCCCCGTGTTTCCGTACGTTGTTCGTGACACGTGGCCCGATCCGTCCCGATCGAGCCTGACCCTTTTCCCCGTCCAGCTGATCACGACTGCCCGCTCGTTCCGAGGCGTACCGGTCTCACCGAGTCCTCGTCCTTCGAGGCCCGTCGTCAGCTGTCCGCACGTTGGCATCGTGATCGCGACGTCTCGCGGAACACGGACAATCGACAATCCGTCGTGATTCCCAAATTGCAAGCCAGTCGATCGGTTTTCACCGCTGCCGCGTTCGCGGTTAGATTGATGCGCTTCCCAATGTGGAAGATTCACGCGCAAACCCTAAGACGCCTGGGGGCGTCCACGTCACCGGACCACCGTCCAGGGTCCCACTTTGGCTAGCACCAGTCGTCTTCGTCGCTGTCAGAGTGTCTGGACCTGCAATCGGCCAGCGTTAATCCTCTGATCCTAGGATCGGCCTGCGTCGGCCTGGATAACGGTTAGAGAATAGAAAAAAGGAAATATCTTACAAAGCCGTGTACCTGGGTGTCCTCTGCTTAGCTTGCGGCTGCGGCTTGTAGCCATTGGGTACAGGACTGGGCAAGAGACGACCGCCGCGACCCATCGCCACTGCCTGCTCGAAGCTCAGGGGCCCGTGGCTCGGTTGCATCGGTGGCAGATGCTGCGCTGGCGGCGGATGCTGCATGCCAGGAGGGATCGGCACGTGAACGTGCGACCCGTGTGTCGGCGAAGCGTTCAACTTTGGGAAATTGATGTTCGCCGGTTTGAGCTGCAGTGTCGAAGGTTTGTTCGGCGTTGGCGGCAGCCGGCGACCCCGTCTGGTCACCAACACCGGGTAACTGTGCTGATGGGGATGATGTCGATGATAATGCTGGTGCGAATGAGCAGGCTGCCGACCACCGATCGGGCTGGGACTCCTCGATCGTTGCTCCAAGCTGGTCGTCCCGTAATGGCGTCCTTGATCGATGTGATGAATGGGACTCGGTGTCCTCGCCGGACTGGTCGAAGCGCTCCACGGACCTGACGGACATACCCGTTAGCCTTTGCGTACTCGTGGCCTTTGCACGCGACAACTAGTCTCTAGCTTCCCCAAGGAGATCGTTCGACGAATCCGGGACTGTTCGAGGGAATAGGCGTACGAAACGCTCGAGGGAAAGAACCCTGTACGTACAACTCGAACGTCGTTCGCGCGTCTAAGAGAACTAGCTATCGAGCCGATTAAAGCAACGGGACTCGACCAGAGTTCCCGAGAGTCTCTCGGGTTAACCGGTCACAACGGTCTGATCGTTCGTTCGGGGATCGTGGTCGAACTTGTGTGCAACGGAGTTTCGCGACGACCAACATGCCGCATGCTGTTTCTAGCTATACCAAAAGATCTAGGGACCGTGACGTGCAATCGCTAAGAACAACCAACAAGTGTCTACTATGTACGTCTCTATGGTATCGAAAGATGGACGCTAGTTTACCCTCTAAGGATGGTACAGAGTGCGTGTTTCCAGTGTGCAAGGGTGCTCGATATCGAAAGCCCGTGTGTGTGTCTATTTCGTGCACAGAGTCTCGGACAGAGCGAGAGAGATCGCGACACGCGATCCACGGGGGGACCAGCGTTCATCTACGTGGTTAACGTTCGGGACAGTCGCAAGCGTCGAGAAGCTAATCCGGCATTTTTATCTCGCGAATCTTTATCCCGTCGCGTTCGATCGCGAGGCTAGATCCATGGAAAGAGAGAAAGAGAGAGAGAGAGACGTGGGAGAAAAAAGTAGGATAGTAATGGGAAAAGACGATAGAGTGTCTGCTTGGCGCGATACCGTGTCTCGACTGACCGCGCAAAGGGGCCGCTAATCCGTAATCTGTTTGTTGTGTCGGTGAGGAGAGTGTGGGTGGATAATGTACAACTGTGAAAGCCAAACGATAGTAGTTGAAGGTAATAATAACGATAAGAGTAAGAATAATGATCACAACGATGATAATAATAGTAACGATGATAATAATAGTAATGATAATAATATCGACAATAATAATAATGATAATAAAATTGCTTCGGAACAGGGAATGAAACGGAGTTGCGAAAGAAATTACCATCGTCGTAATAGTCGCAGTGGTCGTAATAGTCTTTGTAGGCGCATAACAGAACAAAACGAAGAAACATATTACATCGAGTGACACAGAGCTTCTGCCTCTTGCGAGTAAACCATTTATAGCGACATTCATATTTTTCTAAATCGTAACTACGAATCTCTCGTTCGTTTCCACGAATCGCATCGGACCGAGTAGGGCAATTAGGTAGGACAGTTACGCGATCGTTTCGAGGAGCCACGGACGGAAATTCGTCCGCGAGAGAGATTCGTAGGTTGGATTTCGTAAAAAGGACTTATCGTTGCACCGTGTATTGTCTTCGACGAAATTATCATTGCTGTCTTGTACCTCGTTTCCTGTGCCGATGATTGTACTGTGACGGATGGGGATGATGCGTGTGTCTCTGAATCTCGACGACGTTGCTAACCGTGTCGCTAAATCCTGGTCCTTCGTGGTAATAATGACCGTGATGATCGTAGGCAGGTCGGCCCGGTGAGTGTCTCCTGGAAAGGGCAAAGCAGTTTCGCGTTCAGAAGGACTCGCGCCATCGTCTCGTACTTATCCCCCGTTGGTCGAACGCCGGGCGTTTCGTTCGCCGTTTCGTTACCTTAAACTCGGTGAACGCGATGGGTGTCTAACCGGTTGCACTGGTGGATGAAGTCTCTTGCCGGCGTGGGTGAGACTCTCGAGACTACCGGCACGCGAGTCGCTAACTACCACGTCCTGAAGCTCCATCTAAACGAACAGACTCGTCGATTAGACCACCATCCCGGGGGACACAGCGAATCAGGAGATTAAGGAGAGTCGGGGTGTCGCCGGTTCTTTGCCTTCGTTACTAACGATTCGCGCCTCGAACGAACATCTTTTTCTCCACTCGAGACGCCTTTTGCCTCCGAAACGCGAATCTCTGCGCGAGCTTCCGAGTCCGGGCCTTGGACCGAACAGCGCGCGCCATCTTCGTTATCGTTCCTCCCGATCCTCCGGATCAAATCTTCCACGCGGATACGCGCGATCGATCGAGAAATTTCGAAAGTTCCGGAAATTCGCGCGGAAATTCATTTCGCGATTCGTGCTACGTAGCTTTTCTTTTTATTCTCATTTTTCTTTCGTTTTTCTTTCGTTTTTCTTTCGTTTTTCTTTCGTTTTTCTTTCGTTTTTCCTCCGTCTCAGAGAAACGATAGACGATCTCGAAGGTGAGAAGAACAGTCGGTGAAGAGGAGCAGAGAAGTCGATATACAGGCACATGTACGCGCGTGTAGAAGCATGCAAGTTAAGAGTTTCGGGCATGCACATGCTTTGCTGAGTAATTTCGTTTCGGAGCGGTTTAGGTGAGAGAAGAAGAGAAACGAGTGTGTCCATTACTACTTGGACGAGTGGTGGCTCGTCGCAGAGGTGTGTATTACTTACCGGGACACGGGTAGTATACATGGAATTGTAACAAACAACGAGACGCACGGAGAACGAGGCAATCGCCGATGAAAGCTCGCGCGAGTGCTTCGTTGCTCTCGAGTGTAATATCTCAAGGCTGAAAGCAGCTAGGGACAAGGGTGGGGTTTCTCTAAACGTTCACGTTGAACTTTTGCTAAGTATCTCGTTTCGGGGTTAACGAGGTGTTCTCTTCTAATCCTGGGTATTTACAAAGTCTGCTAAGATACGGCGTTCAAGATCGATTCGATCGCGGTCGGAGAACGCGTCGCGAGTCGTGCAAACACGATCGCGACAGCGAGCGTAATGCATGTCGAGTAGAGTAAATCGATCTTGATCTTCGCCGAAATCCCGTAATTAGACGCCCAGTACATTTCTTTCGCGCGTCGATCAAACGCGAATGGAACCGCGCGTTGTCTAAGCTCGCGAACGCGGATCTAGCTACCATCTATTCATCTAAGGTCTATCCCGATCTAAAGGTGTTCTCGAGTCCGTCTATAAGGAATTTCTCTGGTTGCTCTCGAGCTAGACTAAGAAGAGAGGTGATACGCTTCTCCGGCTAAACGAGGTACACAGACGTGGATCGGTCGCGCACTACCACATGGTCGAAGCTAATCTCGCGACGAACGATAATCCCGGCTCTAAACGACGGCTCGTCTAATTCTAAGGAAGCGTTAGAACGTCACACATCGAGATCTATGTACAGTTGGTCGTTCGATCGACTAAATGATTAGAAAAAGCACGGAGATATCTATACATCCCGGCCGAAGCGAAGTTTCCTCGATCTAGCGCGATCTAGACACGCGTCTCGTGCGTTCGAGCAACGCTGAAAGTGGAGAGAGACAAGTGACGCCAGCTTCTCGCGAGCGAGAGCAGGCGAGAACAGTTGGTTCTCTAATCGCAACCGATCGAGGGAGGTAAGTAGTAATTGCGAGATCGAGGTTAGTTTGAAATCGAGGAGGATTTTAATTGAATCGAGCCGAGAGACCTTGTGGTAACGGATCGAGGAGCGAGGTGCGTAGGTATTCTGGTGTTGATAGTACGAGGGTGGTCGGTGAGCATGATGATGATGGTGATGGTGATGGTGGTGGTGGTGGTGGTGATGGTCATAGTATAGATCATTGTCGGTATCGTAGTATTGGTCGTGATGGTGATGGTGGTAGTAGTAGTTTTGATCCTGCTGGGAGGGCACCTCAGCCAGCAATGGCTCTAGCTCGGGGGCGCGATCCTCATCATTAACTACGGGTACAACCCCAGACCCACCCCCTCCCTGGCTACTCTCTCCGCTGCTGCCTAGTATATCGTACTGGTGGGACATCTTCCAGTTCACCTTTTTATTTCTGAAATCAAAGAAACGGAAATAAGGAGAAATGCGTCGGGCCGGATACGCGCGTCCGTTCCTCGACATCGATACTCCGGCGCGTCCGATCCGATTAAAACGGAAACGAAATACCTGATGCTATGTTGACGTCTATGCTCGTCGTCTTCCTCCCTGTGCTCCTTGTGCTGATCGAGCTTCGCTTCCGGCGTCGGCCGTACCACGTGTTCGAGGCTGTTCGCCCTACTTCCGGCCTCGTGATTATTTCCGGCATGATTTACCGCCGTCACGTCCAGAACGTAGTTGAAGAAGGTCGGTGGCTAAAGTCGAACGTGCGAAACCACACCGACTATCAGAGCTGAACGATATGTCTTTTACGAGATAATTATTTGTTTTTTTTTTTTTTTTTTTTTTTTTTTTTTTTTTTTTTTTTTTTTTTTTTTTTTTTTTTTTTTTTTTTTTTTTTTTTTTTTTTTTTTTTTTTTTTTTTTTTTTTTTTTTTTTTTTTCTTAATTTTTCTTTCTTTACCGATCGTCTCTGGGACGATCCCCGAGCCAACTCGTATTACAGTACAGTATGTACAGGCACATACAGGCTTTCTTTCGTTCTCCTCGTTTCACCTTGTTTTTCTAGCGTGCTTTCAAAGTCGGAAGGAAACAGAACGATTATTAAAATAGAGCACGAGTCACAGCAACGTAAACGGCGAGAGAGAAAATTTGGTCAAAAGATAGAGGCCATGCTATTTAGAAAAGAGTATATCGTGACACGGTGCACTCGAGAGTGTCGCTGGGAAAAAGAAATTTTCTCTTCCAACGGCGAGAAAGTGCGCGTTCTTTCGTTTTCTCCGATTTTTCCTTCGCGATGCGCCTGTGCAGAAAGAAAGAAACGGAACGGAGAAAGATACGTCGTGTATCGAACGAAATTCGTAGTAAAAGTGACATTGCAAATTGTAATCTGTGACGGTGGATCACTCTGGCAAAGCCTGTATATGTTTCTCGGAAGCTATACTCTTACGTTAATTATTATCTTATTCCATTGTAGAGTGTTTACAAGTGAGCATAAAGTACCATATATATGCAAATAAAGACAATTACTCGTCACGTTTACGGTATCGAAAATATGCAAACGTTGGTAATAGCATGCAACACAATGCTCGAATCGCCGATGTTCCCCGATATTCCCCGATAGGAAAATCTTGCTGGAAAATTTTTTCCACGAAAATCCAACGCTTCCCCGAGACTCGACGAGATATTACGTCACGACGGTTCCCTGGAAAGATGAATCGCGAATATTTCGATCGGTCGATCGTTCGGTGAATTTTCTCCCCGCTGTCAAAGGGGTTGTCGACGAGAACAGAAATTTCGACGCGATATAAAATTACGAAATCGAGCGGAACGTCGACGATTCTCGGATACTTCCTAAAGACGCTAATACGGATATGCGAACAAGTCGTGGACATACACAGTACACAAGCCAATCGCAGCGAACAAACGTGACGGGGGTGAGGGGGCTACTAGAGGTGCTAATCATCCGATTATCGTATACGCAGACACAAAACGGGTACAGGTGTATATACGCTTTACTCGAGTTGCTGACATGCCTAGGAAAGTACGCCACATTTGGCTACGTTTCATCTACCGTTAATTACCTTCGATCAAATACTCTCAAATACGACAAAATCTCCAAAGTGTTCAAGATACTTCGTCTACGAATAGTAATTACCTCAACCGTTCGAGTGCGATGGAAAAAAAAAAGAAGCACGCGAGATATGTGGAACAGTGCCGTGCGACGATCACGCTGTACCCCGGTCTCGAGTGTCGACGTTCGATACAGCGGCACTGTTCGAGGCAAAAATCCGGGACCACTCGAACGGTTAAACGAAACCTCGATCAGCGACGAGCGATCCTCGCTTTTCGCGCGATCGCGTCGCGGATCGGGATTAAACATTTGGTTGTTCACAGCATCGTTCGTCTCGAGAAAAAAGGCCGTCGCCGGATCTTCCGTGGGAAGGCTCCGTGGCTACGTAAAATCGTGTGGTAAAATCGTTGTCGTGTGTTAAATCGTTATCGCCCTGCGTGTGTCACGGAGTAACCGGGTGCTGGGTGTGTGGCTGTTGTGGTCGGTAGGACCGTGTGCGAGTAGGTAAAGCCATCGGAAGAACTAGCAAGGCAACGAGTCTACGGAGAACGCTAGTCGACGTACTCAGATTCTCTAAGAGTAATCTCTACGCTACGCTGGTGGTCGTCGGAGAGAGATGTACAGGTGAACAAGGAAAGAGAGAATAGATCGATACATCTAGCGAGAATGCCGAAGATCTAACTCGAGGAACGCGCTCCGAGTCGATCTCTCGTCCTCCCGAGGAGATCTCTCTGCCTCGGTACCCTCGATCGACTCCACGAAAGGGTACCTTTCGCTCCCTCGGCGTCCCTCGGCTTCTCCGCTACTGCTAATTCAACAGCTCCTATGGGAGAGAAACGGAGTACGGACGGGGAGAAAAGGGACGAAAGAAGGGACGTATTAACATTTGCAGCGGAGTCTCCGTAGGAGAATACGCGTGGGAAAAAATATGGAAAAATAATTTTCTAAGGCTGGATCTAAGATCAGCTATATGTCCGACTAGCTAAGAAAACTAACTATACGCTTTGAGCATGGAGGACTATCGAGCTAAGAGATCAGTCGGAAATTGGTAATCGCTAATGCGACCTAATTAATGGAGCGATACTCGAGGCAAAAGGCGAGCTATGTTCGAGGATCAAGTCTCTCCGGCATTTGTCTTCTCGGGCAATTCATTCTATAGGAGGTTCGACGTACTAGGTAATTTACTTACACACAGCTATATCGTGTTCTCGGGGGCAAAGAGCCGATTCACGTGGGAACACGTGCGATCGAACACGAAACGATCCCCCACGTGACATCGACACCGTCACTAAAAAACTCAAAATGTTGCAACCTTACGCATCATCCTGCTTTCCGCGATTTTCGATTTCCTCGCGATGGTTTCCTGCTCGAGGATCCTGTGATCGGATCGAACGTCTCGACGATGCGTAAAATTCAACGAGTTTAACTAGATTCAAGTATTATCCTAGACTAGTTGCTTATTATTTGAAGAGGAAACGTGCCATTAAGAAAGGAAATTCTTTGATAGGAAAGACTAAAATTTCTAAGAGATCTATATAGTGTGAAATCGACAGATGCTCTAAGTAAGTACTTTCACTAATATATCAAAGTGCCTAAGAAAGAAGAAAAGTTCGCGTGTGTGATGGTGATTCCGTGTCGAACGCAACCGCAGTTGATTTCCGTCTTTTCCCATCCTTTTACACCATTCTCCATCTTTTTCCATCATATTCGCCATGTTTTATCCACGAAATCGTCCAACCGGGGTTGAGAGATCTATGATACACGAGCGTTTCGCGGTTGCATCAATTGCCGTTGCGTGATCGTTCATCGATCCGTGATTCAGTGACAGTAGAAAAGTTGAGGAAAGAACAAAGGTCTACGATGTGAAAGGAAAGTAATTCCAACGAAAATGTTCGAGTGTGTCGAGTGTCGGGAGAGAGTGTGCACGCGTGCGTTTGTGTGTCCGTGTATGTAGGCCAGTGTTGGTGTACAGGTGTGTCGATGCATAGAAAGAAACGTAGAAGATCAAAAAAGGGAGCAGAGATACAACTGCCGATTAGCTAAATAAAAAAAAAAAGAGGAGGTACTTTTACCGATTTAACTATCTCGAATCGTTTCAACCTAGTGTGCTTTCGTATGTACACGATACAGTACACGATTACGTAAACTGGCTACTGTGTCTCTGCATGAATCGGTGATCCAAGTACAAAAGGAACGAAAATGTTATTATGTACAAGAAACGTAAATCATTCGCTGCAGAGTATGCACGAAACGGGGATTTTTTAGTGACTTTTTTAGCGATTTTTAGCGATTTTCTAGTGATTTTTTCGGTGATTTTTCGGTGATTTTTCTATTCCGCTGTGCCGGATCGAGCGAATACGCGAGAGCTTTCGATCGGATACGCGAGAAACGAGGGACGACTCTGCAGCGAACGGTGAAACGCGTGTGAACGAACGTGTCGGTGAAACGTAACGTGAACTGTACAAAGAAAAATATGAGACGAAAGACCGTATTAAGATGATAATAAGTAAGAGAAAAAGTAAGTACTACCGCCTGGGCTGCAGGACTTTGCCCGGCATTATCGTTATCGATAAGATCGTTATCGTTCTGGAAAACAAAGAGAAAAGACACAAAGAGATGATTGAGAGCTGCGTGAACATCCTCTTGTCTGGGTATATAAGTACATAAACGTAGTATAGTATGTGATTAATTTCCAGTTTAAATTACTCCTACACTAATGTCACAATAATAACGATAATCATAACAGTAATAATAATAATGGAAATAATAACGATAACAACAACATAATTCTATTTATCAATAATTCGAAGGTTCAAACCTCGTTGTCGTACTCTCTTTCTATGACTTTTTAATGGAAACACGTATAAATTCAACACACAGATTCTTTTCTAATATTCTAATCGTAACTCATTCAAAACTTATATATTGTCCTAATTTTCTATGCGTGGTCCGTGTCGGTGTCGATACATGGTGCGCCACCTATGCTCCATCGATCGTCAAACGATCGCGCGAGTAACTGCGAGAGATCGAAACGCGATCGAGATCGCGCGATTTATCGATTGTTTCAACGATGCACGACGAGCAGCGATCGATGTATCGACTCTGGACGATCTACGTTAATCATTTGCATGAAATTTGAATCGTGACGTTCGGGAAGGGTGACATCGAACTGCTTCTACACATATTGACTCGGCTAATTCAACTTAACAGACAGAAATTGAACGTCTTCCTTGTTCGTAATATTTAACTAAGTTATGCCGATTCGTTAGCCCAGCGAGACGTATGAAACAACTGCGAAACAGTCTCGTACAAAAGTTTCGCTCGTTTAAAATTCCCTCTACTCGCGAGCACGCTGGGATAAGGAGCGCGGCCAAGAGTCTCGAATTTTCTTTACTCGTTCAAATACGTATGAATGTTTGAAAATTCTCGGCACTACTGAGCACACAGTAATACAGCGTCAGAATATCGGGACACGGGAAGGAAGCTTAGAATCGCGCCTATATTTCCAGATAAATCGATCTTTGCATCGATCCTTCGGCGCACAACTTCAGCGCACAGATGAGACGAGTGTAGTCCCATCGATGCGACCTGCTCGATCGTGAAAATTTGCAGTCGTCTTCGCGATACTAAGCTTTCGTGGGTAATCAAGAAGCTACTTGGAATCATTGGGCACTCTCTATTCGAGACGTGATTTTCACACCGTCCACGTGAAATCCTACCACGAAGAAGCCAACGACAAACATCCATTCGAACTCAATTCCCGATTGCGATCCCAACAGGTTCGGCTCGAAGGAGTCGCGCGATTGCAAAATCGCGGTGCAATCGCTTGCACGAGTAGAGGCAACGCGAATCGGCCATCTCGAGGATCGTCGAAGCGAAACAGAGAGACGACGAACGAACCGTAGGATCGCAAACGCAGAGGTTCCTTGTCTGAATAGGGAAATATCGCTAGGGGCTTCCATTTTCGTACGAGTCACACTCGAACCGTAACTAACGGAAAACTCACCTGTCCGGTTGATTCTATCTGACCAAACCTAGTCGTCCTCCAACTTTCGAGTATCAGAAGGCAGACGTATATCTTACCAACGGTCATCTTACCTCTGCCTAATTCTGAAACGAGACAATGGCAGCTAGTGAGCGTCGCGTCTGCAACGAAAGAACGAGATATATCACGATATCCTTACCTTCGTTCCTAGGTATCAAAAGGTCCAACATCTTTTTTGCCTGCAGAGGCCAAATACTTCTGATCGTGTCTCTCAGTTCCTCGTTCGCTTGGTTCCTCTCGACGGCTGTAAAAGAGAGTACAAATACGTGAAAACCTCTCCCCGTCTGTGAAATATACCTCAGAACCTGGTAACCCGAGAGACCCACCTCTTCTCACTTTGATGTTGAGGTTCTCGCGAATCAGGGCGAACAGCGTGGTGGTGAAGTTCACCTTCAAGTCGACGTCCACCGGCATGTTCATCCTGATAAGCTTCTTGTAGGCTAGCCTGTTCGGACACTTGTTACCAAACCCCAACGGTGGATCCATGTTCTTGAGCATGTCGTACATCTCGCTGTAGTGGATCTTGCCCGTCGCGTTAGGGTCGTACTCGGCCCAGATCCGGACGAACTCGTCCAGGTGGTGGGCGCCCAGGATGGACGAGTCTCTCGTCAGATAATCGAAGTTGTCCATGATGACGGCGACGAAGAGATTCAGCATGAGGAACGAACAGAAGAAGATGAACGAGACGAAGTAGGCGTACGCGATGTTCGAGCCACAGCCACCAAACTCTTGTTTCCCGGCCTTCTCGTCGCACGGACGTCCCTTTACGCAGGACAGCATGATGTTCGGCCATGCCTCGCCGGTCGCGCACCTGGTGCAACCGAATCACGTATCAAATGCTTCTCGAGATTGCCTCGCTTTCCACTCAAACTTCTACGTACAACTCGAAAGCTGCGTCCATCGACAGGCGATGGACTCTTGCGCCCTAACCGACCACTCTCCCAGTCGCTTCTCGACTCTTTAATCGGTTATCTTTAACGAGTTAATTTAACTAGCGTAGGATATTTTTCAGAATTTACTGGGATGCTACGGTCGAAGTGTTCCTGTAGGTAACATTTCGCTAGCTCTAGTGGACCCCTTAGGATCTGGCTGTCGGATGGGTCGTAGGACGTCGGGGCCAGGCCACGTGAGGTGACCTCGCGCAGGGTCCACGCGAGGGTGGGTTAACCGTTTGAGTGCCACGGGTCATTATTGTTTCCCAATCGATATTTGCCAAGCGGCGCGATAGCGCTTGTCATATTCCGTGTCCAAAAATGCCGAGCGGCGCGATAGCGCTTCTCATGTTCCGCGTTCGCCAACCGAGCGCGCTGATTGTCAGCTTCGCAGCTCAGAGCGCTGGCACTTTTGGACACAAAATAGAAGAAGCGCGACCGCGCCGCTTGGCACTCAAACGGTTAAGCCTCTTCGGAGGAGCTAGCTCGGAGGGAGGAGTCTCCTCCGCTATTGACCTTAGGGTAGAGGGAGTTTCTGCTCCTTCGGGGAGGCATTTGTCCTCTATACGGTTTTTAAAGGGACCCGTTCTGGGAGACAGAGTCAGTCACCAAGTCAGTTGTTAGCGAAGAGTTGGCAAGTAGTCGCCAGAGTCCGTCGGTGGTCGAGGTAGTCACACGAAATAGAGTTGTCAATCGAGTTACGGCCGTAGTAGCCCAGTAAAGCCTTATCAGAGATTGGCCAGTGACGACTTTGCTTAAACACCAGTTATTCTCGAGTTCCCCCCGCCCATAATCGTGCGTTTTTCAATCGGCGAATCGCGAATGGTGATCGGCGTTTGCAAGAAGTCGGAAAGTGGTCGGTTTAAAGGAACGCTCGAGGTGCATGCAAATTACTCAACTCGAAGCATGATATATGTACGTGTTGAACGGGAATTTCTATGAAAATCTCGACTGTGAATACGAGTATCACTACGGACGTTGACGGTGAACTTCGAGTACCAAGGTGGAACGACAAGTAGTACAAAGTGTTATATACGGTAGCTCGACACGAGAGAGCAAGTCTGTCTGGAAAACACGGTTCATGCATGGAACTCTCCTCGCAACGAAATGCAACACCAAAAGCGAGTACTGGTTTTTAGTAACTCAATTCTCTACTCGATTGCTCTGCTACGTGTTAGTTTGAATTGTACGCAAGAGGCGTAGTTCAGCCCGTTCATGTCAGTGTGGTTAGTCGATCGGACTCGAAACGTTACCGATCCGACGACAATGGAACAAACGTAAAAGTTAATCACCTCGGTCTTCGCATACGTGACACTTTTCATATTCCCCGTAACATCGTCCAATGAGAATTAAGTTCCTCGAGAACTCGAGTGCCTCTCGGTTTCAATTGCGTGTGCGACTTTCAGCGCAGTGCTCTTTTCGCAAACGATCAAACAAAACGACGAAGGAAATAAAAAACGACAGAAGAACAGAGGCATAAAATGAAGTAAAAAGAACGAAAACAGCTGATCTTTTCTTTTCTTTTCTCTTTTAATCGTAGTTCGTGGCGTGTTGTTACTTACCGAAAAAGCAACATCAGACCTTGAATGAAGCTTTGGAAATTGTTGTGCTTGGTAATAGAACTATCAGCATCCAGCGCGATGTTACCGAATACCTGAGACCGACAGAAAGAAAATGGCCGCGGCCAAAGGGCGAGCACGGCATTAGCAACGTCTTCCTTCTCAAGTTTGCCGATCGAATTTAACGTTAACGCATCGCGAAACTCGCGCGCTCGTCTTTCGTCTATTTCGCTGGCCGATCGAGTGCTTCTACGCGATCTTCCGAGTTTAAGTAACACGAGTAACGAGTGTACGTAGTGATAGTGTCGATCTACTCTCTAACAATACGCATCCACCACATTAATTACGATCTACGGTCTCGTTTGCTCTTCTCTTTCATCTCGATACGCTCGATATCCTCGAGAGAGATAGGAAGAGAAAGAGAGAGAGTGTGTGTGTGAGAGAGAGAGAGAGAGAGAGAGAGAGAGAATTGGATTAGTCGCGTACAAGTTGGCCATGTTGAGATCTTTCGTTCTCTCTCTCGAGCATCGACGTAAAGTGAGCAACTTGAATAATCTAGGGCAAGCATCTCTATGTGGGACAACTGTCTAGAGGAGGTCTAATTGCAGGGTTCGATTACAACAGAGATTGACACGTCGAGCAGCTTACTTTTGTTAAAACCTCATGCCAACAGCCCAATATTCTACCAAAAATGGTTACAATCGCTACCGATCGTTCCGTCCTTCTTTTGCTCTTTCTATCTACGCGTTTTGCGCGTTACTGACGGCAAAGATAAGCGGGGAGAGTCGCGATTGTCTCTGTCGGAAGCAAACGAAATCGCGTGACGGATCGGTAGCTCTTTCTCGTCGACAAAAGTTCACTTTAGCCCAACTTCGAACTTGCTCCGTTTAGCTGCTCGACTCACCGAAAAAGCAACATAAGACCGGCGAAGAAGGACTGAAAGTTGTTGTGATCATCGATCGCTGTTCCTGGATCGTTCGCTATATTTCCAAAGACCTGACAACGGAATTTCATTGTCACTAATGGTCCCACTCACGACCGATCGTATCGTTTAACATTCTGTTCCTGTAAACAGTATCACTCGCCCTGTCCCCGACCGAGCAGTCCCCAATGCCGACAATCACGTCTCGCATTGGAGACCCTCGGTGGTGCGTTCTCGACTCGAGGTCGTGTCCGTGGCGTTACAGACGGTATTACAGAGATAATCTCGAACGTGTACGAAACGTCGGAGGAGGAATTTCCCTCCTGCTCAGCGATACGTACCTGCATACCGATGATCGCGTAGATGAAAAACAACATCGCTATGAGAAGACAAACGTAAGGCAGAGCCTGAAATAGAAGGTAGAGTTACACAGAGGTACGCACCACTCGGATCCGATTCGAGTGGTAAGAGTGGTAAGAGAGGGCCGCGAACGGGTGCGAACCGGTTAGAGTGGACTTACTTTGAAGGATTGTACAAAGGTCCAGAGCAAAATTCGTATAGTGTAGCCCTGCCTGAGCAGTTTGATCAGCCTGGCGGCACGGAACAGCCTCAGGAAACCGACGTTGATAAAGTTCTCCTGCAGGGGACAGAGGAAATTGCACTTAACCCCCAAAAATGCCAGCTTCTTATCGCGATACGGGGTTAAAGCTTCGCGCGTGTAGCGTCACGGAGTCCCGAGCTTGCCTCGAACAGCTCTCGTTCAGCTCTGTTCGCGCCAAGCGGACGCTGACAACGTATCGGTGCACGAACGAAGCTAACGGAGGATCTTTCGAGATCTCGCGGATCGTGATTTCAACGCGACACGCTCGAGTACGCGCGGAGACTCGATAGGTCGTTCGTTGAACCCATTTGCTGGCAGCCATGCTTGCATCGAGCGGTGACTGCGCCGCGAAATCGCGTGGCGAAATGAAATTTTCATCGCGCGTTAATACCGCATCCATATGCCATTCGAGGTTTGGTTTTGTCTCTTTGGTGTGTTACTGCTTTGTGTACACGCGGATAGTATATCTGAATATTACGTATATACATATACGTATATCGTGTCGTTAAGCAAAGAGAATGTTGATGCGTCGTAGTAGAGGCAAATATCTCGTGTGCAGAGAACGAGCAACCGCGATTGCTCGTCCTTTGTGTCAGCGAATGATAGCGATAACGATCTGATCGTTGCGATCGTTGTTATCGGTGCCCCGACGAATCCCGTATCGTGTGTCCGATTACATCGTAGAGACGATCGTCGATGGAGGATCGTCGATACCGTATAACCGGCGGCAACTTACGTCTGTAGGTGTAAATGTGACGAAACTTATACCTTTTTTTCGCCTAGTTGGCCGCCACTGGGCATACTCGAAAACCGCTCCTAGTACAAAAATACACGATATTGCAAATATTATTGGATCGATCGATGGACGGTGTGCACACTGATCTGTTAATATGCGGATAATATAGAACAAAACTAGCGGAGATTTACATATAAACGAAGCTGTCTGGCGGCGGCTGAGACTGAGATTTAAACAACTGTCATTTACGCGAAGCTTGGAAAGGTTCGTGGCTTGGCTTACCTTGATCTCTAAAAGTAAGTTAGCCGAAAGATCACGTTAATCTCTGTCGAGTGTGAGCAAAACCTACTAGGAGTGCAAGCATTTAAGGGAAATCTCGACTCGATGGTCTCGATCAATTGTGTGTGTGTGTGTATGTATGTATGTGCGGCATCGACGCTCAACTATCTGACGCTTTTACTGGATTTATAATTACGGCGTGTGGAATAGTTATAGCACGATGTTACTTCGGGTCTTAAATATACTTCTACTACAGAGGAATAAAGAGATACTTGATGGGTAGTGCTATACTTATGTAAACTGTTCGACGGATGTCGCTTTTCGCTATATACGAAGTGAACGAGAGAGAAGATCCTTCGAAGGGAAACGCTTCTTATTTTCCCCTATCGTTCCCTTCATTTCGCACCCCCCGCCCCCCTTCGATCCATCGATCCTCGCGATCATCCCCGAGAGCGTTTCCCTGCGAGAGATATTCATTCGACGTACATGTATACTGCTCGTATCGTGATCTTGGTGATCGTATTACTCTGTACAGGTGTGATAATGTACAGTGTGGGTGTGTAGCGTATGAATGCAGCATAAAGCTACGCAAATACATGAGATTGTAGGGGTCCGGATTACGTCGTCGATTTACCTGCTAGCATGTTATATTTGTACACTCTGCTGAAACTAAAGAAGCAGCAAAAGGGTTAAAGGAAAGACAACACTCGATAATGTACAGTCAAGCAAACATCGGGGGGGTTGACACAGTCAAGAAACGGGAATCATAGGCGGTATATATATATACATATATATATATATATATCATCGGGTTTCTCGTTAGAAGAGTAAACGTCTGGACATTCTACTTCTCCTTCCGGTTAAACTACTTCATCGCTCTGAACATTTACTCGTCAGCGACTTTAGAACGAAAGCGCTTGCCGAAGCTCTACGTACCCCGAACTCGATCACGAGGGCATCCACGATGCTGCCGATCACCGTGATGAAGTCGAACGTGTTCCAGGCGTCCTTGAAGAAATTCTGCTCGCGAGGGGATCGAGAAAAGAAATGAAATCGATTAGGAACGATCGCGCGATCCATCTTTGCCTAACGTCGCTTCCGAGCTTCTGCCAACGCTCCTTCGCTTCGTCTCCCGACTTTTGCTCCTCGTGTCCTCTTCGTCCCTTCTACGAGCTCGAATCGCGAACCGGATCACGCTGGAAGAAACTCGGAGGCAGGTAGGAAGTGTGTAAGATGGTTCGCGAAACTAGCGCTAAAGAACTACGAACTCGTTTCGAAGGAGAAAAAGAAGGAAGCTCGGCCCGGGCTAGGGGTCCGAGCGTTCCTCGAGTTTCTGTCGTTCGTGTGTCGTGATGTATGCGTGCTTGTGTGTATCTGTGCGTTCTCGTGTACGTGTTCGTGTTTGTGTTCGTGTTCGTGTGTGTGTGTGTGTGTGTGTGCCAATACGCACCCTTTCCGCGATAACGTAGACGCGGTCGTTAGAGAGCTAAACGCGAAGAGCCGTGCTTTCGGATGACGCGTGAAGCAATGGCCACGTATCTCTTCGTTTGGAAAAATATCTCGCGAATGGAAAAGAAATTTTTCACGACTCGTTCGCGTTACAGGATAACTGTCACACGTCAACCGATATTGCACTACCGTCTATGCACGGGGATAGGATATCGCAGTTTGACAGCGTTCGCGCGAGTAGACGAAGAGACTCGGCTGAGAGAGGGTGCTAGCCCCCTCCCCCCAGCGATTACGCGATACCCGAGTCGCACGGTTCGGTGATCGCGATGGTCGGCTGAAGTATAAGTGACGGGGGATCTCTTCTAAAGAAGTATCTACTACGGGAGCATGCCGTAATAGGTAATAATAGCAAGCAAACTAGAGAGATAGAGATAGAGACGCGTTCGTACCGCGGGATGCTCTACTTTTTTCCACCGTTTTCCGGTGGCCAGGAAAGAGGTCGCACGTTGCTCTAAACGGTCTGAAATATGCAAGCCAGTAAAGAGTATCAGCGTAAACAATGTCAACTCTATCGCAGCTGCTCGTCGACTATCGAGCCCGTCGAGTTACCGTTTACCTCTAGCGTTACTCTACGTACAGGGCGACTGAAAGGTATACCGAGGAACTCGGCTCGTGCGAGTCGCGTGCACGGTACACGCGAACGGTACGCCGTAAAAATAGCAGGAGAAGGTGGGAGAGATTACTTGGAAGCAACTATTTCGTTTTACGGCAAGCGATACAATGGAAAACCAAGGCAACGGTATCGGCACTGCTAACCAATGAGAAATTCTACCGGTCATTCGCCGACGAGGTAAATACTTTTTCCGTCTCTTTGCCCCCATTCGGCTCGCTTCTTCGCCGCGGATGTATCGACCGCTTACACGCGTGTAACGTACGCTTTTCTACGAGCATTGCGCACAGTGTTTCACCACAGTGGGAGACCAGTTATTAAAACTCGCTCCCCCCATCATTTTTACGAGTACCGCTCGAAGTTAATCGGTACACGTTTCGAGATCGCTCTTGCATCGTAACTCTGAAACAGAGGAAACAACAGGGGGGATCTTACGGTCACAAAAGAGATACGTCTGCGCGTTACACCGCCTCGATCGAGAATCGTGCCGCGCCTCGCTACCCCTAACTATACTCCTCTTTTCTGGCGTTTCTCTCCCTTCCCGCGATCCCGATCTCGAACATCCGAGATCATGCTGCTCGTTAATCCGTTAAAAATCGCGCGGCGGCTGGTCTGCGGGTTGACGTGGAGCAAACGAGACGATAGAGGCCCGGAAAGAAAGAAAGACACGGAGAGAAAGAAGAAGAGTTCGCGGTAACACGGTATATACGCTACAGAGATATAGTTGCGTGTGATTGAAGTCAGTGGAGTTAGTGATTAAGAGGCTAATTTTATACCTTGCATCCGAAGGCGACGAGTTTGAGGATGCACTCGATAAGGAAAAGGAGCGTGACGACGAAGTTCACGACGGTCAGGGTGTCCAGTAGCTTTGGCGGCGCCTCGTAATACTACAAAATACACCCAACACACAGACGTAACACAAGCCGAAATTCTGTCTTCCATTTCCCCTCTACGATTCTCTTCGATCTCACGAGCTTTCCCGTTCGTTACAACCCAATCCGCGCAGCGTTCCCGTCAGCTTTCCGCGCGAGACGATAACGAGCGCCGCGCTTTATTCTCGCGTCCCTCGTTTTTCCTTTATTAATTTACCTCGTAGCAAAACCGCCCTTTTATTCTTCCCTTACCCTCCTCGACTTCCAGCCAACTCTCTTCCTCGATACGACGCTTCTCGAGCCAGCTCTCGTGTGCTCTACCCGAGAAGTACCCGCGCGAGGAAGGCAAAGGGAGCAAAAAGCAGAGATCGGGAATGAAAGAAAGTTCGCTCGACTCGTTCGTCGAGGTTCGAGATCGCCTCGCAACCGGGTTACTTCGATATCCGCTCGCTTTTATATCTCTACCCAACTTTCGCGTACACACCGGATACATCCGTTCGTCGAGTAATTTTTAACGAGCAGGTCTGCAACGTCTGCGACGAAAGACGTTGGAAAAATCGCGGTAACCCCGTTGCGAGGATTTCCCTGCAGCTTTTCATCCCGAGGAATTCGAGCAAGTCTAACCAATCTCCGACAGAGCGATCTTTCGAATTCGGCTGATCGTTCCCGCGCGCTTCATCGGCAGCGCGCGTAACGACGCCGCTTTTCTTCGTACACGTGTGTTCGTGTGTGTGTTCGTGTGTGTGTGTGATGGGTGTGCGTAGAACCCGTAACTGGTCCTTCCCGGTGGTGGTAGAATGGCGGCATGCGTGTGGCGGAAACCGGAGGCAGTCGAGCCTTCCGTTCTTCGTTCGGCCTGCAAATCGGCCGTTCGATCTCGGCCACGACCGGTTAACGTTTCCAGTGCCAGCCTCACGAAAGAGAATCGTCCCGTTTCTCTCCCTTTCGTGATTGCACATCCGATGTGACGCCGGGTGGTGGTCCCGACGCCCACCGTCGTCCACGATCGTGTCACGACGAAGCGGTCACGGCGGTGATATTCATCGTTGGCCCATAACACGCGGTCGTTGCAACAACAGTGACACCCTTCGACGTCCAGCGTCGATCCTCGTGTCCACCCTCGTCCATCCTTCCACGCGTTCTCAGCCCACCCGACAGTCCCCCCCCACCCACCCACCCCGTTCGTTTTCCCCCTCCCCCCGGAAGCAACGAAACGACCGGCGAGAGATCGACGTCTCGGCGTCGAAACGGCGACGTACGCATGCAAGAATAAAAAGATACGTCAACGTGCAAGTGATTACGTGCGGATGCAACCAGGCGTGGAGCATGCTGGGAGCTTTCCGAGTTACGTTCGTCGTGCGTGATTGTCGGGTTTGCTTCCTCGAGGCGGTCCCCTCCGTTCCACGTATCTCGCAGGGAAAACTTGTTCGAAATGAAAACGAGCCGGAAAAAGAAGACAAAGAGAGAGAGAGAGAGAGAGAGAGAAAGAGAAAGAGAGAGAGAGAGAGATAGAAAGACAGAAAGAGAGAGAGAGAGTGAGATGAACGAAAAAATAACTCGACGTGACAGTTATGCTTCTTGTATCTTCGTGTCTGAGAAAACCGACGAGCGCGAATGCCAGTGTGTAGTGTGGTGTAGTGTTGTTGCGCGTGAGTTCGTGTTTCATACAGCATCGCGGTGTCTCGAAGACGCGTCCAACCGCGAGTCGCCACGCTACCCGGCTCTCGAGAATCGTATTCATCGTTCTCCAGCAGATCGTGCCTCTTTTCCGAGCCATTCGCGATTAAACTCGTCTTCGTTCCCGTATATCAGCGTATTCGTCGGTACGAGCTCCCAGAGATTCACTCTCCGACGTTTCGTGTGGATTTAGAGAGCGTCCAGCCGACGAGGACTGCGGCTTCCGAAATATCTTCTCTCGCAACGCGACTCGACACGCAACGTCCCAGCTACGATCCGAATCGAATTCTCGCAGTCCTCGCAGGGCGAAAAATCTACACGAAGGCGCAACTCGTTCCATCGCGTCCAGAGCCGAACATCCGCTACGTTGGACGATGAGGAGATGAGGAAAACGTTTCTAAGCGAATCGACTACGAGGAGAGAGTAACAAAACTAGCTCGACGTTCAACGCGCGTTCGGCCCTGGACGCGAGAGGTCGTGGAACAATAAGTAGTGATCTATACACTCGTACATACACGTATCCTTGCAATACACGGATATTTTCGAGTACTCGAGTCGTCAAGATACTACCTATTTAAGAAGTAAAAAAATAAAAATAAAAATATAAAAGAGAGGAAAAGTCTTTCTAATTGCACTCTAATAAGCGAGACTTACCAGACTACGTCGAAAACTGATTCTGCGACCATCTTCCG